ACATTACACCTGTCCAGGTTATCTTATTCCAGATTTGTTTAATTTTATATCTACTATTACGGCGACACGCTTTACTTTTACTTTCAAGTATGAATTAAAAACAACATTCGCTTGCTTTTTCTCAGGCCGACTGATGTGAACGAAAGCAAACGCCTCGTTTGCATATACACTCCTGAATTAGTGCAATTCACTTTCACCTGTCTTCAGAAAACGCCGATTTAATTGCACATCTCCGAATCGCAATTAAAACAATCTGATGATCTCGATAATAAATTGTGTGGCAAGCGCATTTGTTTGCGTTGAGGGAATTTTGTGTGTTAAAATCGTTCACAAGGCAATCGATGTGGAATTTGTTTTTACTCCTAGGCCATTGGATAGGAGATCAAATGCATTTAGTGGAGTTGTGGAGCGTGAAAAGAGTTACCGTGTTTACACGTTTGGTTTCGTAATAATTGTAACATCTAGACGCGGATTTTGCGGTAATTTGGTGTTGTCAGAAGAGATGTGTTAATGTATGATATTAAGACAATTACTAGTTTGGTTTCTTGGCTACCAAAAACTTTTTGCCGCGGTTTATTTTGTATTAGCTCGGCCTCGATTTAGAAAGCAATTTTTTACATGAAAATGAAGTCAACTAAAAAAAATGCTGCTCCCAAAATGTTAATTTATCGAGGATTTTCGAATAGTGGATTCGTATTAATTTGAATGAAGGTTTTCTAACGAGTTTCTCTGCATACAATCTTTAAGATTTGCACTTAAAATGTTGATCTTGAGGATAGTTCGATCATTGTTTTTGAATTTACTTTTACTTGTTGTCTGGAATTGCTGAAAAACCGAATTCATGAATCGAATTGCGTCGATTTTGAGATAATAAGAGAAAGTTAATCGACATTTAACCTGACCCGAATTCAAGGATTTGCTGAAAATGGAAATGGAAAAATTTCGTTACGAAGCCCTAGCGGTTGAGTAATGTTTCAACATACAATTATTTTGTAAATTTGTAATGTTTACGACAATTCTATAGGCAATAGAGCTTTTTTTGCCGATGATATCAATGCGAGACGTGGCGTGTATAATTGAAAGATGCGAGAAGTTTGTATTTTTCTCGAGTTGAGGATGTTTTTTTCACGCAAGCAACGATTCGTGATATGTTTGTACTTTCTATTCCTCAAATAAGAGTAAATATTTTGCTTAAAAATTGCTTTTATCGATTTATGTATTTCGTGAAAACGGATGTTGGAATAAAAGGCTAATAAAACACATTAAAGTTATTACAAGCATACAAAGACGGGCGTTGTTATAGTAGAGATAATTACCTAAATTTACTATCTACTTTACTACTAATAGTTTACCTTAAAAGTGCTTAAAATATTTTCTATCGGCACATTTCTTCAGGCAAATATAATACTTTTTATGGAACGAAAGAAAATTAAATTAAACACAATATAGAAAGAATGGATAAAAAATTTAAAAGAATTATTAAATTTAACTTTTAAATATATGACAACTCTTCTAATTGCTTTGTAATTAAATAGCTACATATAAATTTCACATTTTTTCTACTTTCAGAATTACTTTAATAATACAAATTCAGTTTGAAATTACCTTCAAAATTACCTAATTAATGTAAGAGTATCAAATTCCATGGACAATTCACTTACTGCAAAAAACAAAAACATGGAAACTTAATGTCAATTAGAGTTAAACTATAAAATTAACTTAACAATAACTAATGACCATTATTTATTATACCATTAATTAGATAAAGATTGGCATATTAATAAATTAACATTGTTAATGTTGTTTTGATTAAGTTTTAAGAATTTAGCCGTTAAATTTAGTTAAACAGCCAACGACTGTTTTTAGTTTATAAGAAAATAGCTATAAATATTTCATGTCATGGCAAAATTTGGTTTGCTTAATTTCCCATACTTAAATCAATATAAATTCATTAGCATTCCCAATTAAGAAAAGTTTAAGGTTATTAACTTTAAAGATACTAGAACAGGAAACTATAACTATAAATATATAGAAATAAGATGTACAAGTCAATCAGTAGATAAACTTTTAACGGTGTTTAATAAAAAAAGTAAAAGTATGAGAGTATACAACACCTTAAAAGTAAAAGTAAAATCAACTTAATGCACGTGGGATGACAAGAAATGTTAGACCTTAGGGCGAAACAGATGAAGTAGAAAACACATTTTGCATATCATTGTCATTGCCTAATAATAGTAATTATCTTCATCGTTCAATAAACCCAACAAGCCAATTTTTAATTACTTTTTTCGAGGAACCCTGTCGTTCTTTTATAAAAATTCGAAAATCATCGACTATTACTCGACACATGCTGAGTGTAATTCAGCATACAGGGTGATTAAATAAATGAACACCGATAAATATTTAAATTACAAAACAGTAGATATCCTCTTAAAATACAGTTCTGGTTGTTTTGTAATACCTGCAGGTATTAACTAGTTAAATGTTCAAATTAATTCACTTTCAATGCGTATATGGAAGCAAAAAGCGTGAAAAACCGGAGCGCAAATGCCGGAATAATGATCACCGAATCAATTATAAGGCGAAGCATAAGCACTAAATTAATTGTGCAGGGTTACAATATTGTTACATTACATAAATCCTTTAAACGGACGATGAGCTCAAAAGTGCGAGTCTAAAATCGAAATTCATGTAGTCATTAAATAAGAATGTTTCAAATTAGTGTAGCCAAAACGGTAAATATTAGTGATTAAATTATGCATAGTACAATGAGGAACTAAATTTAATTTGTAATAGGTTCATACATATTCAAATTACATAATTCGTAAAATTCCATTCTTACTTTCTTCTTATATTTAAGCTACATTTATCTACTGGTAGTCTTTATTTAAAACCTTCATTTACTTCTGTTTATACAGTACTCATATTCTTAAAATTACTTTATTAGACGCCAAAATCACCAGTTCTGCGAGGTTTATCGAGCAAGGTATCATAAAGATAAAACAAACTGCATATTCTCTGAATTTCTGCGTTCTCGTCGACTCCATAAAACTGATGCAATTTTTCTTAAATAGCCTACAATTTCAATATCGAATCGCTACGTGTACGGCTGATGTATAAATAAAAGAGCGGGAACAAATGCTAATGGCAGCAGACGTGCGTTGGAGTAGCCACTCCTTATTGTTCACTTGGGTTCGTTTACATACCGGCTTGCCCCAGTGACATTACATAACTGTTTTCTTGATTGATCGGAGCGTTTTCAGAACTGCAGATTATAGCTAGACGAACGGTAAAGGGGTATTTTTGTGCATGGAGTTATTGAAGACCGTAGAAGGATTGGACTGTGTAATCTTACCACTGTTTCAGTATAAGGTCAAAGGAGCCAGTAGAGCACGCTAGGAAATAAAATCAAGAAACATCATAGTCATAAATTCTGTTAATATAGAAAATATTATTTTGTCATCAAGAGCTTCATTCCCTTTACAAACATTTTTGTTTGGTGTTTCCACATTAACTTTGGATGCCTCATCCTTTGTTATCAATTGTGTGCAAACTCTTTATTAAGCAAATGGGCTTGACTACAAAAACTCATTTTTTTGTGGATCTGGTCCTCGTTTCGTATAATTTTTTTTTTCAAAAAGAAACACAATGTGGAAACTTGATGGAATGTCACGCACGCTACGTTGTCTTTTGTTGTGACGGTCTATTGTTCTATTTACGCTGCCTTTTAAGCATTTTTACAACGGTACTCGTCTTTATGGAATTCTAATCGAATTTATCTTGTAAAAATAAAGACGAGTCGGTTCCAGCGTTGTCTTTCAGCATAGAGCTTGCACTTTGTTTGCATTCGACCAAGTAAGGAGACCTACCAACGTATAACGGACCAGAATTGTTTATTTTTCTTTAAAACAGTGGATATTGTACACGAGATTCTTATTTAAATTCCACTAATAGCAACTGGCTATAAATCGAAGGGCTTGCTCGCTCCGCGAGCTCGATAATTCTATTAAATTATTAACAAACGCCGAGTGTAGATTGAATGTGTTATCTTGAATTGCAAATCAAAATGTGCGTTAGATTGAAAATTATCTGTTTGCTCGATCGGCATGGCAAAAAACGGACCAGTGAATCCAAAGCAGGTATTTCCAAATCTGAATTATAGACCATTACTGAGTGTAGTAGACAAGAATCGAGCGCGATGAAGTGTTGCAATCGAGTCAAATATAATTTCGAGTATCCGTTTGTTTCGAATGACCTAAATCGAATTCACGTATTTATCGATTTATCTTCAGTCTAATTTAATGAAGTTGATTAATTTATTAACATTTTTGTACAAAAAATTCCAAATATCTGCATAATTACCGAATTTTTATTACAGCTGTTTATAGTATCAAAATAATAAAAAAATAACTCAATTAATTTTATCGCTAATTTTATTTTACTATTTATTATTTTATTTTTTGTTAAAATATCGTTGAGTAACCCATGTTATTTTTAACGATTATTGAATGCTAATAAATTGTTGCTACCTCAAAGCATGCAGCAAATTGTATGATGTATGTTTCAAATGTAAAATGATGTCGAAACTGTGCTGTCTGAATTAAGAGAAATATTAACCAAAATAAATTTCCTTGGTAGAATTGTTTAATTGAAGTGAGTATACTATTTAAATGTTTATTGTTTACAGTGTAATTATGTTTTATATTAGGTTTATTTGTATTGATGTTTACGAAGGGCATGTTGTATTTAAGTTAGATTTTTTTTAATTCTCTAGTTATAATAACCTATCCTACCAAATTTCTAATTCACACATACACACACATTTTTTTTTGAAAATTTCCACATTTTCGTGCCATTGTAAGCAAAAATCCACTTTCACTGCATACCATTCTTCAATGTAGGTACCTACCTAATAACTTAATAACATATTTTCAATTCAAATTTATCACGTATATCAACCGTATATCACGTACACTGATCGGCATTTTTTTTGGTTACAGTCCATCAAGCTGAGCGTAGAGGAGATCGAAAACACATGCAAACAAAAGGTAAGTTTCAAATCTGTTTCCAACAAAACATATGGTTAGAGGTATTATTATTACTTATTAAGTAAGCACATTAAATTTAACGAGATAATTGAAATCTCGCTATTGGTAGGTTCGCAATTACGGTTCGTTAATTCCTTATAAATAACGCTAATAAAAAGAACCGAAAAAAACGGAGGATGTATAGTATAATTTAATTATTTTTTTGTTTAATTTCACGCGCACGAAGTGTGAAACAAGAACTTTTGTCTTCGGGAATAGCAGATATACAAAGATAGATAAATAATTTCAAGTTCACTTACTTATCAATTTATTTGATTGTTACGCATTCACCCGGATTAGGATTAACTTGCGTGGCATACATTCGCACATTTAGTTAGCTAATTGATTCGATTGACCGAGAAAGATACTTAGATGGGTGCCGAATCCATTATAATCAATTTGAGCGTATTGAGTACCCGAAATCGAATTATAAATCGTTTAGCGCGCTTTCGAGATAAAACGAGATTTAATGTTCGTGCACAAATCGCTAATGTATTTAAGTCGATTGTTCGGCCTGATGGACGTGCCGAATGGACGTCTTAGATAATAGTTGTGACATGGTTTGCTAGTTTTTAAATTGGTAAATAATTGAGAGATGCGTGACCCAATTTTTGGTTCGGAGGTAAACTATCGCAGTGCTCAATTCGGGTTTTGTTTTGAGGTAAATGAGCAACATTTTTATGAATGTATGCTATTACTTTACAAACCCGATAAAGTAGGTACACAATGCAACGTTTGTTAATAAGAAAGTGGATACCTGGTAATTTAAATTCTCCTATATCATTAGGTTTATTCATGAAACATAAAAGTAACCGAGGAAACTAAATCATTTCGAGTTACGTAAACGTTACTTTGCATACATGTAGGCATATGCGATATAGTTTGCACTATTATTTATTATTAGGAGAAAGGAGACCGTGATTTCACAGTTCAGTAAATATCGAAATGGAATCTATAATTATTATCTTTCCAGACAATAATATACACGTAAAGAGTATTCTCGTTTTCGGTTCGTCATCCAACCAGAATGTTGTCTTTGATCTCGAGAACGTCACGTTTCGATCGAGTACTATCTCTCCGAATTAATTTCGTCCTTGTGTTTACATCATCTCCAAACTGGAAATTAATTATTCATGCATAACATGCTAAATTTGACACAAAAATATTGCACTTTATACATACCTACCTATTCCAAAACAGCATTAACATTTACTTTGCATGATTAATAACGCACCTAAGAAAAACTTCACATAATTAAGTTCCATTTTTAATTAAGCGCATTTAGTAATTTATTCATTTAAAGAGTTGTACATAAGTTTAAGTAAGATATGGCAATTTTGAACAAAAAATCCTTTCCTGTACGAAGGTCTCTCAAAACAGTCTTACTACTTAAATTAAAATGCATAATCTACGGCCGTACGATGGTTATTTAAATGCCACGGAGAAGAAAATACCCGCTAGATATGTCGGAATTCTATTGTGCCCGGCAAGGAGCACGTCTTACTTCGACTTAGTAACGTTGCATTTACAATGTTACATCTGCAACTTCCTTCAGATATATCTGCCGAGGGTCAGGTCAACAAACAATTCAATTGCACAGTTCATAGGGGGTAATGAAACGCAGGAACGGATCCGATGCAACATGCGTATAGAATTAATGCATAATGCGGCATTCACTACGGGCATATTTATAGTCGACGTTAAGCTGTAGAAGGATACGGTGCAAAAATGTAAATGCTAATGATGCGTTAATAATGAAACGGCTGGATTTAATAATTGAAATTCGATATTTCGATGCGGTTGTTAGACTGGTCAAATTAGACAAAATTTGAGTTAAATTATTGTATTGAAAGTAGTTATGGAATATTTTTTGAAGGATTCAACTAATTACTCGAATGAATAACTACATCAACTTGTTAGATGTCCTATAAGACAATTTTATCGTTAATTTGACTGGACTAAATGCATTTCGAGATACAAGAACGATCTAAATCTCGTTTCCAACGGAGTTTTTCGTCCACGCAAATTCTTCGTTCGTCAATAAAAATAACAATAATGAAATAACACCTCGCGACGATGACATTACTCCATTAAGCACGCAGGGTGGATTGGTGCAGCTTTAATGAGATTTTAATTATCAAACTTACTCAGCAATTACCTTCTACCATAAACTGTTCATGCTTAACAGTTCTTCAATATTCGCACAACAATAAGTTCAACCTATAAAAGGACAATTTTATTGCCTGGTATAAGAAGAGTTACAGCTCGGTTTACCTCAACAGGCTGATATAGCAAGCTGATAAATGTCCGCTCTTTCCCAGTGCAGCAGGATGGTGGATCGCCTGGGCGTATCGCATAGTGAATGTAACTGTAACAATCCCACTCGTAACCCTGATCTGTGTAAATGTCTGAGGTCAGCCTCCGCCCTCGTCGCGATAATCGCCCATCGTCGATGCTTGATCTTGGAGTTAACAACGAAAGTTTCCATCTAACGAAGAATCGCTCGAGTAGAAATCTTCCGGGGAACGGGCTCGCCCAAGACAAGGAGCTTAAGCGTGTGCGCAATTAATTATTTTCTATAGGCTACTTTAGTTCTATCTAATTGGGGATGTGGTGGTACCGCCCTGAACTCGAGCCGAAGCTGCACAGCAGCGGGAGAAATAATGCGAGGAAGGGCGAGACCGCGGGAAAGAAGGGGACACTCGGCCGGTGGCTGTTAGCTTGTTAGCTGGTACGAGTAATTTTAATAAAGTTTTCGATGTTCTGTAATTTTTCTTTTAATGTGCAATTGCGAAGACTGTGAGTGAATTAACACATCTTCAAGAAGTCGGTTTATCCGAAACTACAACGACTGAGCTAGCACATTTGGCGCCCAACGTAAAAGGCTTTGCCGAAGGAGTTCATCGGGAGAAACGAGTAGAAAGAGAAGCGAGTAGCAGTCAGGCAATAGACGGAAGGCGAAAAGGAAGGATATTCTACCGGTAATTAGCAATTGCAGTTACGTCTGGTAAGCATTCCAATTTTAATAAATCCAATTCAACGATAAACGCCGTCCACGTTCCGGAGGGACAGCGGCCATTTTTCGAAATTTGGAGGGAAAAAGTATAGTTGTCGGTATCACGCGACTCTACTAGAAGCGGAGAGGGAGTTAGCGGAGACGAGGCGAATTCCACGAATTCCACGGACGCGAAATTCCGCGACTCGGATAAAAAAAAAAAATAAATAAATAAAAAGAAATCATTACGTTAAATGCTACAATACATTTTTGTTTCATATTTATTCTAGTAGTTAGATAAGTAGGTACTGTTTTTTTTTTCTTGTATACTCGTACATAGTTGGATATATTTGAATTGTTGAAAATTTTAAAATGTCTAAGTCTTCAGTAACTGGTAGTAAAAAGAAGGCAACAGCGGATGATTCGGCAGGTGATTTAGATTTAAGTAACGTTTTAGCTCAGCTGTCATTGGGGATGGTTGGGTTACAGGATTTAGTAAAAAATTTAACTGAGCACATAGTGCACCGAGCCGACTCATCGCCAGTTGCGAAAGTATGCGAGCACGAGGAGCGTAATTATATATCCAATTGGAAGGAATTGGGGGGTTGCGCCTTAATATTCTCGCCGTCTGGAAGAATGCATCCAGTGGCGTTCTTAAGAAAATTAAACAATTTGTTTATTGAGGCCGGAGTTCCGAATCATTGTAAGGTGAGTTTAGCGTTGAATTGTTTAAGAGGAGGTGCAGCCGACTGGGGTGAGTTAAAAATACGTGACTTAGAAAACTACCCTGATTTTGAAAAACAGTTTAGAGCTAGATATTGGGGGGTGGAAAAACAAAGGGATTTATATTTGGAATTACAGTATGGAAGGTTTGAAACTGGGAAGGGTTCAGAATATTTTTTGAATTTGATAAGTCAGGCAAGCTTTTTGGACGAAAAGATACCGAACGAAAAATTGATTAGTTTGATTTCAAAACATTTCCCTCCCGAGATTCAACGAGCGATTATTAATAATGGGTATTCGGAAATTGAAGAAATTGAGGAGTATTTAGCAAAGCTGGATGAAACATATTCGCGGGAGAATAACACCAACCACAGTGGTCGTCGCAGAAACAGTTTTCAACAGAATCAACGGGATCAGGCTCCAGCACCTTTGCGGAACAGTCTTAATTCTCCAAGGAACACGGATGCCGGGCAACCCTCTACCAGTGGTACCAGTAACAACATTCGTCGAATAACAGCCGTCAGTCACGATCCTACTGATCTGCTAACAGATTCGGAGGAAGAAGTGGAAGAAGAGACTATGTTCTCTCCGGCAATTTTGGTGAAAATTGACTCGCGACCCATAGAAGCCCTAATCGACAGCGGATCGGAAGTTTGTGCGATGTCAGAAAATTTCTTTGAAACCATAAAAAACGAAATAAATATACCTATCTTGCCTGTAACTAATATGTCTATTTCGGTAGCGGTAGGAACTAAATCGGAAAGAATTAAGAGACAGATACTTTTGCCCGTTTATATCGGTGGAGAATTCATGGAAATGGGTTGTCTGGTTGTGACCAGGTTAAATACGGATTTGATTATCGGTTCCGATTGGCTTTTGAAGTATAAAGTGGTGATTGACTTCAGGGAAAAATCATTACATCTGTCCGTGAATGATAAGATTGTGGCTGTCAAAATAATTCCACAATTAAAATATAATTCGAACAATTTGAGTATAAATATTATGCGGAACGAGGTACAGCGGGCGAGCGATACGGGTACGCCTATGGAACCGTGTCGGCACCAGTACGCCGACGAAAACATTGTAGCGGCGACGGTAAACGCTAGAACCGAATTCCATCGACAGGAACTTTTGACGCTGTTGCGCGATTTTCGCGATATATTTTCTGGGGACCCGGGGTGCGTTAAAAATTATTATCATGAAATCGAATTAAGTAATTATGATCCTTTCAACGCGGCGTCGT